GGGGACGGAGCGGCAGCCAGCGGGGAGCTTGCCCGGCTCGTGTGCCGCTGGCTTCCAGCAATTCTTTCCCACTTCCCGAGGACCGTTTTGCTATACGGCGTTTCTATACGGTGTGCCTGGCAGGCAGCCCACTCCCCTTCCCAGCCATGGGGGTTTTCCACGCTGGGCTTTGCAAACTACCTCTATGCTGGGTCCTGGGAATCGGGGCCTCTGCAGGAAGGAATTTGCTGGTCAACGGGGTTGAGCTGAGCTGTGCGACCCTGTTCCTGTTAGCAGTGACTTTAACTTGGAGGCAGCACTCAGAAGGATTTGGAAATTCCCAGCCCCCCTGGTTGGCTCCCTTCGATGCCTCCTGTCTGTGTGTGTACCCGAGGAGCCTCTGCTCCCAAGCCCGAGCCGCTCGGGAAGCAGACCCTGCTGTCCGGTTAAGCGGGACAGAGCTGGGCGCTTTTGCAGGGCTGAAGGGCAGCCCAGGGCTGGGTGAGCAGAGGGCTGGGGGGTCAGGAGAGGGAATCTCCTGGCTTTACGGGGTGAGATGCCAGGAAACTGCAATGCTGGAAGCCAGGGAGGTAATTCGTAGGTGAACTCCAGGCTCTGGTGCTGGGATGCAGGCTGCAAACGTTTGGGATGGAGGCTTGAGTGAGTCCCTACAAGCTGCCATGGTGATTTGACTGCCTAGGAAAGGCTCACAAGCAAGGTGGTTTGGTGACCTTTGCTATGTTCCCACTGGTTTCGCACGCTTGTTGTGTGGGGACACCGTAGTGTCTGCCTAGGACACCCTCCTCTCCTCCTGCAGTTTGGAGGTCCCTCCACCACAGGGATGCACAGAGGGCTGGAGCTGGGCTGCCTAAGCATGAGGGTAGCTGGAGCCACCATTGCAAGAAGCCCTTTTGCAGAGGCTCTGTACGGTGTCTGACACAGACCGTGGGGCCAGAAAGGGGTTCCCTGTAGCTGAGACATTGCAGAGGGGCATGCTGCCTGGTTATGTGCCCCTCCATGTGTCTGCCTCCATCCTGCCTCTCTGAGCCCTGGGAAAAGGCTGGTGGCTGCAGGAGTCCAAACGGGTAAGAAATGGGTTTATATATACACGTACAAGTCATTGTGCCTGGCCAGAGAGGCTGCTGGTGTTGGAGAGCCCTAGAAAGCGTTGCCTCCACCCCACCTGGCAGCTCCTCTCTATCCCAAAAGTTCGGTCTGCTTTGCGGTCTCCCTGGAAACAGGGTACTCACATCTCTCTCACTGCCAGAAGCTCCCTGCTCTCTCCCTGAGCTGGGTAGACAGATGACGGAGCAAGGCACTTGGAGAGGAAGGAGTGAACGGAGGACTCTGAGGGAAGGGAGGCAGGAGGGGAGATGGGGCACGGACCCCAGGCCAGTTTCCATGGGGCCCTGCTGCTCAGGCATGCAAGTGCCTCTGCATTGCTCAGACAGAGCAATGGCTAAATACCCCTACCCTTAGTTTTTTCCCTCCTGGGTCCTCTCTAACCCACCTTCCCTGGAAGGATTGGAGTGAGGGTCTGCTCAACCAGCTGCTTTCTTTGGAGTGCAAATCACAGCAACCAGAGAATGGCTAAAGACTGATGCCTGTGAAGGGAACGCATGCCCTGATCCTAGTCAGCACCTCAGACGGTGTTTGAGGCTGTCTTCTGGCCAGAGGATGCTGCTGTGGTGTCTTGAAAACATGCGGAGAGCTGGGGACTTTCCGGGTGCCTACTGCTGCGGCTGGGACTGGGACTGGGCAAGGAAGGGATCTGGGCTTCGAGCTGGGACTGCAGAGCTCTCCTGGGCTCCTTTGGGAGCAGAGGGAGCCCTGGGCTGAACTGGTCTATGCTGGGGGCAACCTGTGACATGTCTCGCCTCCCTCCACATCACCTGCCCTGATACCACATAGGGTCTGGGAGAGACTTGACCAGGGTGGATGGCTACAGGATCAGTGCTCCTCCAGCTTCTCCAGCATAGGGACAGTGTTCCAGCCATGCCAAGGATGTGGGTTCATCCAGGCGCTCAGCAGCTGGGCAATGCTGCCTGGAGAGGTTGCACAGGTAAGGTCTGGAAAGGCAATAAGTGCCAGCCATCCTTTTCCTGCCCTGTCCTGATGCCACCGGTGCTTTGGGGTTGGAGGGATGGGTGACAGCACATAGGATGCCTTCAGGGACCGGTTCCTCGTGCTGCCAGGCACCCTGGGGAGAGGCACATGCAGGCATCATGCTGCTACCCATGCCCCAGGGACTGCTGCCCAAAGCCACACAAACCTCGGTGCTGCACGAAAGCCTGTAGAACCGCCTCCCCTCATCTGGGTGCTGGGCACATGCATAACCCCCATCATGGGAGCCCCATCATGGGAACTCCTTTTCTCTTCTGGGTGAGTGACAGAGGAAGACCCAGGAGTGCAGCACTAGATCCCATGCTGCCCCAGGCACCTGACCTGTCCCCAGGGAAGGCAACAAGCTGCTGCAGCTTGCCAGTCTCCTGGCCCAAGAGAGGGCTGCAGGGCACTTGTTGGAGAGCCCCCCCACGCCATGGCTCCAGCATTGCCACTTCCCTGCTGAGGGGGGCAAGGGCATGGGCATCTTATCACAGCTCTGCTTTCTACAGCAGCTGGGACTTTGGTCTCCCCCTGGGTTACTCATTGCCCTTGATAACTGTTTATGAGGGTCCTTATCAGGAACCGTTGAAAAGTCGTGGGGCTGCACCCCAGGTCACAGGCAGTGGGGCCTGGGAAGGCCTTGGTCCGCACCGGCATCAGGTAGACCCCATTGGAGCTCTACATCCCATCAGGGCTCCCAGGACACAGCTGGCATGGGCAGTGGGACCAGGGCTGGCCGAGGAGCTGGAGGCCAGGGTGGGTGAAGAGGGGCTGTGAGTGATAGGGTGGTGAACCTGGGGATGGGGTGGCAAAGGGGGCTCCTTGCTGGTGGGGGCTACCCAGCAGGGCTGGAGAGATGCTGGGTCCTGGCTCTTCTCAGAGGGGCCCTGGGGCAGGGCGAGAGGCAGTGGCACTGGATGCAACAAGGGAAATTCCAATTAAATAGTGGGGAAAATGTTTTTGACATGAGAATGTTTCAAGCACTGGAACATGTTGCCCAAATTGGTTGTGAAACCTCCATCCTTAGTCTCTTCCAGATGATGTCCTGGTGATTGCACGAAAATGTGGAGGTCTCTGGCCGTCCCCTCCTCAGAGCAGGACTGGTGTTACACCAGGTTAGTCAGGGCTTGGTCCAGCCATGTGGCCATCTTTTTGGGTGGCCTTTGTCACCACATGGGTGCCCTGCAGGCACCTGTTCAGCTCCCCTGGGTCCACTTCTGCATAGCCCCCATCTCGCCAACCATGCCCAACCTGTCCAGCTGCACAGGGTCACACTGTTGTGCCCATGGGAGTTTCCACCTTGCCTATGTTAAACCTCAGGAGGTTCCCGTCAGCCCATTCCACCAGCTAGTCCAGCTCCCTGCTCATCCTCAACTCTCCAGAATTTGGTATCAGCACCAATGTATGGTGGGCTGTGCTATCTCCCCCAGTCCCATTTGCAGTCTGGCCCTTGCACATCCCAGCCCCAGAGGAGCTGTTTGGGGAGGTCCTGAGGCAGCTGAACAGGGATGGGGGCTCAGGGGTCTGGGATGTGGGATCACCCTCAGCCCCTTCTCACCTGTGTGGTGTGGGTGGCTTCGCTCAGGAGCAAAGCATGAGGTGGGGTAGCAAAACAGATTGACTTCTTGGTTACCCTAATGGCTTGGCCACTCGCCAGTATCCCTGCCTGGAAAACAGGCAAGCAATAACACCCGACCCTCCGAGAGCAGGTAGAGGCAGGTTGCAAGACTGGGTAGGAAACAGGAGCCCACAAACTCATCTAGCCATGATGGGGGCTGTGTCTCCGGCATGCCCCCCACCTGGCACCCCAGGCTGTGATGGGCAGCTGGCAACAAGACAGGACGCATCCGTAAAGGGGGGCTCACGGCTTACAGGAATCCCCCACCCTCTCCCTTCTCCAACCTCCCAGGCCTCGGCTGGCTGGTGGGCTGCCTGCCAGGCTGGCCGAAAATGAAAGCAAACAGTCCAGAGATAAATAGGAGCAGCTTCTGCACAAGGCAGCAGTGTGCGTTCTGCTCCCCAGCCTTGCCCAGCTCAGCACCCGCAGCACCCACCATGGCTCTGCGCCTCCTCCTGCCGCTGCTCCTGCTGGCTGCCACCCTCCTCATCACCCAGGCTCAAGGTGAGGGGCGTGAAGCCCTCCTGCCCACTTGCGGGTGGGATGGGGCAGGTGATATGGATGCCCAGCAGGGTCTGCGCAGGGTGCTGGGTGGTGTGGTCGCAGTGCACCGGGGGGTGTTTGCGGTGCATTTGGGTGCATGCGTGGCTGCGGGTGTGGGGTTTGCAGTGCAGTTGTGGGTAGTGGGAATGGGAGTGTGTGTGTGTGTGTGTGTGTGTGCGCACATACCTGGTTGGTGTGCTTGCTTGGCTTGGGAGCGTGTGTGTGTGTGCATGTGGCTGGTGGGGCAGCAGCACCCCAAGCTGAAAAGCGCAGGCAGGAGAATGAGGTTCAGTCCCTTTGCAAGGAGCGTGTCTCTGCCTCAGTTTCCCCTCTGCCAGCAGTGAAATTGGCGTCTCATATCCCCAGGGCAGGGTCTGACCTGCAACTGGGCAGTGGGGTTGAGAGCTCCCACCCTCACGTGCTGCCCCAGCATCTCTCCCGCAAATGATACCACGTAAGCCCTGTGCTCTCAGCTGGCCATGCTATGCTCCTCTGGGGCTGGGAAGGCACCCTGGCTTGGTGAGGGTCTGAAATCCCACATCCCCCCCTTGCTCCAAGGCATTGGCAGCTCAGCCTCAGACTGCTGCCTGAAGAACAGCCGGAGACCCATCCCCAGCAGCTGGGTGAAGTCCTACAGCCTCCAGGGACCCGAGTCGGGGTGCTTGCTGCGTGCCGTTGTGTGAGTATCCTGCTGCAGTCGGGATCATCCGGAGCAGTCTGGCTCCAGCTAAACCCTCCTGCTCCATGTCCTCCCCTTGCCCACCCCTCAGCAAACCTTTCTGCCTGCACCTTCAGATTTACCACCAAGAAGAACAAGAAAATCTGCGCCTCTCCCACTGACTCTGCTGTCCAGAAGCTGATGCAGAACCTGGACAAGAAAGTCAAGAATGACAAAAAGGACAAGAAGAGGGGACAGTCCTCACGTTCCAAGGGCAGACCCAAGAGGCAGAAGCGGCAGCAGGTCTAAGTCAGGCCTGAAGAGGTAGGTGGGGGGAAGCAGAGGGCAGCAGGGTGCTCACCCCCATCCCAGATACTTCTCCATGGGAGATCGGGCATCCAGCTCCCAGGACTGAGCCTGGAAGGGCTGCCAGAGCCATGGCTGGAGCATGGACACGCTTAGGGCATGGCTCTCTCCTGGTCCGTAGTTGACTTACAATCAGATTTCTTTCTGGAGCTGCTGGGACAAGGCAATGCTTGGGGATGGGCAAGGCATGTCATGCAAGGCAACAGCCCCCCGGGCTGGGGTGGGTGCTCTTGCTGAGACCCTCTCTACCTCACTGTCCTCTCCTTGACTTCCTTAGGATAGATGAATTCCCCACCGATGACCGACCCACGGCCTGGCAATGGACACCGACAGACCACCCACCCACCCACCGGCCATGGCGCAAGAATGGGGCTGGCCGAGGGGGCTGCCCTCTGCTCTGCAGCCCCCTCCGTGCTGCCGTGCCTGCTGCAGAGATCCCCCCAGCCGGGACCCCCTGCACCGGCTGGGTGCTCTCGGCAGCAGGGGACACCCAGGTCCTCGCTCGCTCCATGGCCACGCCAGTGGGGACCTGGACCCACATGGGAGCTGAGCCACAGCCTCGCGGGGGAAGTGGGCAGCCTTCCCACCAAAGGGGATTTTTGTAGCCTGGCAGGATGGCAGCTTTTCCTATTACTTTTTTT